CGGCGTGATTGGGAAAAACGGCCCTAGCGACCTCAACAATAACGGCATGAAGCTGTTGCGGTTTTGTGCAGACAACGCATTGTCGATCATGAACACCTTCTTCGAGCATCGAAAAGTGCATCAGTACACCTGGTACCTGGAAGCATGTGCACAGAAATCGATGATCGATTTGATAATCGTATCGCCTGACTTAAGACGCTCAGTAATGGATGTTCGTGTTAAAAGAGGCGCAGAGCTATCAACCGATCGCCACCTTGTTGTTGGCACGCTGCAGTGTAAGAAATGGACTACCATACGATAATCTGGAGGCACGAGCAACCAAAGAATCAAATGGGAAACATCATCATCCGCGGAGACGAGCGCGAAACTTACGAACAACATCGCACGGGGGGTTGAATAGATTGAACCCGTGATGACCGCTGATACGGAAATGGAGTAGCAGCTTCTTAAGAGCCGCATACTCGAGGCTGCCGCCGAATGCTGCGGACTTAAACGGGTAGGCCTGCCGCCTGCAGGTCAGAAAAGATCTTCCTGGTCTGCCTTTCTTCCAGGTAGAAATCGCAGTTAAAGAGAAGAAAGCAGCATTCAAGAAATTGTTTGCAAACAAGGAGCCTTCTACTCTCATGCGATATGTCAATGCATGCAAGGCGGCAGCGAAAGCAGTGGCGAAAGCCAAAGCTGGTTCCTGGGAGAAGTTCGGTGAGGTGTTGGAGTAGAATTTTTTCACGGCAAACAAAGTATTTTGGCAGACCATCCGCGGACTCCGAAGTGAAAAGAAGGACAGTCTCAGTGTCTTGAAGGACAGGTCTGGACACCCTCTTACCAAGGGCGATAGAGCAGTTACTTTGATTAACTCCTTAACCACAAACAACCGCAGGTAAACTCGCCTGTAGGGCAACAGGGAATGGATATTACTCTCTGTAGATGAAATTACACAAGCTGTGAAAAGTTTGAAAGGTGGAAAGGCTGCTGGAATTGATGAAATCCGCCCTGAGATGCAGAAGGCATGAGCTGACTAACACGTGTCTTTTAAACTGCAGTGGCTACGTGAAGGACACAGCAGACTGGATAACGGGAGTTTTTGTGCCCCTATTCAAGATGGTAGGCCACAAAGAGTGATCCAATTAAAGGGGCATTACGTTATTGAGCCTTCCAGGTAAAATCTACGCAAAGGTGCTAGAAAGGAGGTGCCGCGTCATAACTGAGTCCAAGATACAAGAAGATCAGTGTGGCTTCCGACCCGATCGTAGCACCTTTGGCCATATATTTTCCCTGCATCAGATTGATGAGAAATAGTGGGATGCGCCCATGTAGTGTTCATGTGTTTTGTTGACCTAGAATATGCTTATGACTGGTTCCCACGCAACTGTCTGTTGTCATGCCTTCGAGCATATGGGATAGATGGACAGCTGCTAAGTGCCATCTAATCACTGTGGCTGGGTCAG